AAGTGGAGGTGCAAGAGCCTCGCTTCATCAGCTCCTTGAGCGAGATCGATGCCCGCTACGAGGGGCTGGAGGTCATCTCGCCCACAGAATTTGAGGTGGTGCTCTACCTAAACCAGATGGGCGTCTTCAACTTCGTGGACGACGGCTCGCTGCCCGGCTGCGCGGTGCTCAAACTGAGCGATGGGCGGAAGCGGAGCATGTCTCTCTGGGTCGAGTTCATCACAGCGTCCGGTTACCTTTCCGCTCGGAAGATCCGCTCGCGTTTCCAGACACTGGTAGCTCAGGCGGTGGACAAGTGCAGCTATCGGGACGTGGTCAAGATGATCGCCGACACCAGCGAGGTCAAGTTGCGCATCAGGGAGCGCTATGTGGTGCAAATCACTCCGGCGTTCAAGTGCACCGGTATCTGGCCTCGCAGTGCGGCACAGTGGCCTATGCCCCACATCCCCTGGCCCGGCCCCAACCGGGTGGCAGAGGTCAAGGCCGAAGGGTTCAACTTGCTCTCGAAGGAGTGCTACTCGCTAACCGGCAAGCAGAGCTCTGCGGAGAGCGATGCCTGGGTGCTGCAGTTCGGGGAGGCTGAGAACCGCCTGCTGATGGGCGGCTGCCGAAACAAGTGTCTCTCAGTGCTGAAGACGCTGCGGGACCGCCACCTGGAGCTGCCAGGCCAGCCGCTCAATAACTACCACATGAAGACGCTGCTGCTGTACGAGTGCGAGAAACACCCGCGGGAAACGGACTGGGACGAGGCGTGCCTCGGCGACCGGCTCAACGGCATCCTGCTGCAGCTCATCTCCTGCCTGCAGTGCCGCCGCTGCCCTCACTACTTTCTGCCCAACCTCGACCTCTTCCAGGGCAAGCCCCATTCGGCCCTGGAGAGCGCTGCCAAGCAGACCTGGAGGTTGGCCAGGGAAATTCTCACCAATCCCAAAAGCCTGGACAAACTATAGGGTGCTGGGGACTGTTTGAAAAGCGACACAAACGGGAATGCTCTCAGACACACGACACACACAACTCAGCGACCAACAGCTTAAACTCTGGACACAAACTTTTACGTAAGCCACTGAAAGAAACAGGAACCAGGCAGAAGACTTTAACTAATGAACAAGCAAACGGAGAGCAAACCAACCAAACAAGCAAAAATCACATTCTTGCACAAAAGTGAACGTTTTCTTCCAAACAATGTGAATTTAAAAGGTCACACAAAAGAAGCAATCGGGCTTTGCCACCACAAAGTGAAACCCAAGGTACATTTTCAAATCAATGTGTAGTAGTTTCTCCCCATTTCCTTTCTGCTGTCTTCTGCCTTTTTTCTCTTTCTCTCTCCCTCTCTCCCTCCCTCTCTCTCTCTCTCTCTTTCTTTCTGTTATGGGTTGCCTGAATGTTGCTACCAAGTGAAAAAAAGCATTCAATTAGATGTAAAATTTCTCTTTTAAAAAAAGTTTTGTTGATGTTAAATGTATCCCAGTGCCAATGTCAGATTGTGCCCCTCCCTCCCTTGCACCTCCACCCTCACCCTAAGCAGTCTTGTTGAAAACAGTAATAAAAATATTACTTTATATTGTAATTGACTGTGGATTGTTCTTAAATAAAGGCAGGTGAGATCACAATTTATACTTTACAGTATTAAAGATGGGAACTTGAGGAACTAAATGCAAGAAGCTTCCATTTGAACTCCAATTTGCAAAATTTACAAATACAGCACATTTTATAGATTTATCACACAAGGTCTCACCAAAATCCTTAGAAAGGGGGAAATACTAATTTTGCCTAGCTGAATACATTTGTTCTGTAGATTTTAAGATTAGAAGTAATATTTCACACTTGAAAAAACAGATTTTTGAATGGGAGAACAGATTTTGATAAGAACTTTTTAAACAGAAAACAATTATCTCACATTTAAAATTAAGAGATTTGCTTTTTCATGCTGTAACTTTAGAAAACCCACTCTGAGTCTGAAATTCAAAGGAAATATTTATGGATCTCTTCTGAATAGTTAACACAATCAGTTGATATTTTTCCTTAAGTTATTCCCCCTTTTTGAGCTTAAAGTAATAAAAATTCAACAACTGAATCAACCATATTAAAAAAGAAAAAAACTGGTTATAGCAATATTCCTTCCTCAGCAAATGGTGATATGAACAATCCAGATTAATAAATTACTTCAGCTTTTAAAATGGCTTAGTTTTAAGTGCCAAAACTATGATCTTTTTTTAAAAAAATCAAATTCCGAGAATTATTCAGAATTATTCTGAAACTGTTCATAGGCAATTTAAAACAAAAAAGGTTATTATTTTTATGACTTAAGAAATATTACTGTTTCAAGAATTTACACAGAGGACAAGTGTGTTCCTCTTCTTTCTGCTTTTCTAAGGTAATATTCCAACATACTCAGTTCAATGTGCAACTTTAACGAAGGTTTCTTTTTAATACATGGAAATAACTGATTCAAAAATAAAATAATTAGTAAAACTGAAAGCACCCCAAAGAAACTGGTTTGTCTTCTTTATGTTTGAGGTAACTATATACTTCATTAGATATGCTAATGATGAGACACAGGTACAGAATATATGTCAGCTGTTACCCTTTACATTTAAATTTTATTCTTTGAATTAGCCTAGTTTTTAATTAATTGAGAAAATCCACGAATGAGAGATACAAAAATGTTCTGAAAAGCAATTTTAAAGATCAGAGGAAGAAGGTGGGAGTGTATGGAGGGATGAGCAGCAGGAGAGCAGAGATGGATGAAAAATAAGGGAGGTTTAGGGCCCTCATGCCTAGTTCACTTGTTAAAGCAGACTTAAGACTGTAAGATTCCCTGGTAAAAATTCCCTATTAAAAAGAGTTCTCTGTTGGAAATATAAACTTTGTATCTTAACAGTTCTGAAATCATTTCCACTCTTTCCACCTTTATCTTTTTCTGTCTCTCTTTGTGTAGAAGTAAAACAAACTCACTATAATACTAAATGGTTCAGACAAATATACACATTTTTTTAATAAAAATGAATTTTTTCTCTGGGGAAAATGTTCTGATTTTTAAGAACATAAGTAAAGCAAGTAATAGGTGCTTACATTTACAAAGAAATGATTTAAGGGCACAGTGTTTACTTCAAAAGATAATAATGACATCTTAAAATGATCTATTTTTTTCACTCACAAAAGTGTTGATAGCATTAGACACATATCTATCTCCAAGGGAAGAAAGTTTTTAAAGACCTGACAAGAAGAAATAAAAATTCCCCAAATTCGGTATCTTTTTTCCTCCTCACCTAATTAAATGCAGGTATCACCAACAGAAAAAAAAAAACAAAACACTGCAACACAAGTGTCCTTATTTACAAAATACCTTAACCAACATCTATACAAAACAAAAAATTCTTCTAATAATTGGCTAAAATTTTTAAGGATATAAATTACCAGAAGTTTTGCTTTCTGGTAATACTTGCTTTGCTGATAATATTAGGCACAATGCAGTAGTATAAGACAATTTCTGTGATGAGAAATTTCTGTGATGCATAAGGAAAAGGGAAAAAATTTAAGGAAGCTGCACAGAATAAGATCAGAGGGAAATAAAAGTTATAACTTAACCCAAAAGGAGTAAAAAACTTCAGAGAAGCTAATTACAAAGACTGGCAGAAGAGTCTCACTATTGAGAACAATTATATTTAATACCTTTACATTAAATCACATTTTAGATTTTAAGCCATGTATGCCCAAAAGCATAACAGAATGTTCTGAAATAAATTTCAGCCTCTAAAACTCAAAAATTACCATAAGTTACAGTTAAAGTAATTTTGGTTACTTCCTTTCCTAAATAAACTAAAATACATTTTCAGACATTTCAGTCATTCAATAAAATAGAAATTTTTCTGGTTGATGTAATTTCAGAATTAGAACTTTCTTTACATTGGATTAGCTGAGTTATCAAGCTCACAATAATCAGTTCCATCATAGTCTTCCTTTCATGCATTCTATGAAATCCTATCTTAATAAAGGCAGCGATTTTGAACTAAAGTGTTAGAAACATGCATAAGACAAGAAGTCATTTGCTTGTAGTTTTTAATAAAATTGTATTTCATCAAGAACTAATTTGAAATACTTCTAAATCACTAAAATTTAAAAATTCACACTATCACAAATCCAAAGAACCTCCTACAAATAAACTCAGAATATATGTGTGCATGTGTGCATATGTACACAACACACACACAAGCTTTCAGCCTGTAAAATAAATTACTCCATTTTTTAAACCACTTATTTTTCCACAGGTTGCTTACTTTGCCCATTTTGAGAGAGACTGTTTCTTCTCAGAACAAACTCTACCATTCACTTTCACGAAATATAAACCTACTTTTTACTTTATGGCTGTGCCACAAATGTTTCAAATGTTTCTTAGTAAAATAATGTTGCCAAGGTCTGAAAACTAATCAGAAATACATTTTAAAGGGGAAATTACATTTCATTTAAGAATAGGAAATTATGCAGTGCCTTGTAAAATCAACTATAGGTAATGGGAAACAGAGGTATCTCACACACACACAAGACAGGCTTGCGTGCACAACAGAGTAGTAAGTCATGAGGACAAAGCAAGGAGAGTGATACACCGGTATTACATCTAGAAATATCAAAGCTAAACAAAATAATTCCACTCTCAATCTCATTGAATTTTGTAGCTTAATTCACCCTGGGCCCTGTGAGGCAAAATATTTATAGATGATTCTCCCTGAGGTTTTCCCCCAAACCCTGAATGAGCTAATGATAAATACAATTAAGTGGAAATCGTTTTTGAATCTAAATGAACTTCAGTAATCTAACTAGCTGGTAAGGGAATCATAACCTTACGAAAATAGTTGCCTTGCATACAGGCAGAGGCAATTCAGCAAGAAATTCAAATTAAGTCTGTCAGATTTTACCAAGGCCAATCCTACACAACAGCAGCCCACAATTCCATCATAAGTAAAAAAAAATTCCACAAAGATAAAACCCACTCCTCAGCTCACCTTGGGGTCGATTCTCTTGAAGGTAGAGTCCTCTTCATCCACCTCAAAATAGAGTTCAGAGGAGGTGACAGAAAGCATGCCCTTTACTACAACAGAGGGGGCCACAAGCTGAGCCGGTGTACTCAGGCTAACAGGACCTGCCAAAGGGAAGACATGCCACACAAGTTGGAATGACATTGTTCAAGAAAATAGAATAAATGCAAGCAGCAATTTTATTTAACTTCTAAATTCTCACCTCTAGGACCAAATTGCCTCCCAACTCCTCCTAACATAAATTCTGTCCACCCCAAATCTTTCTCCAAAAATGCAAAGTTAGGATTCTCATAGTAAGAGATTTATAATAGGGGATTAAAGATAACCATAATCTAGGATGCAATTATTTTACAGGGAGTCTGCACAGCTTTGGTCTAATCTCCTGGTAAGGTGCTCTGCCTAAATAAGTCCATCCACATTCCATTTAGAAAACAAGCCTCAGGCTATCAAACAACATGGAACAACTAGGAGCAAGGAAGATTCAATAGGCTTCCAAGGCCAGAGGTTAGCTGAGAGTTTGGCTGAGGCATGATTACAAAAAGATCACCAGCTTATTAGTGAAGTGAGAAACGGTATATACCATATTCTCTGATAAAGACTTTGTGCTAGATTGACACAAAAACCTCTTCCATAACCACTTTACCCCATGAAAGATTCGTAAAAATACTTATTTTCTGAGCCTGCCTTTCCACTGTTAAATATTGTTCAATGCTTCCAAATCTAATATTAGTGTAGTTCAGGGACTCTGGGAGTAAACAGCTGGAGGGTGGATTTCCAAGTGAATGAATTTTTATTGGAATAATCAAATCTCCACAGGGCTTATCAAAGAGACAAATCAGCCTGCTACTGAAGACAATAGATTCACTACAGATAGAAGAGCATAAAGTATATTAGAGCTAAATGTAAAATAAGGACTAAAAATAGTAATTATGTATTTCTGTAGTGAAAGATGTACTAAGAGTTTGAAATCACATTTTAATTCCTCATTGTACAAATCCTATAGGTGAAAAAAATAGCAAGAGAATATTAGCACTTGTAGTTCTGAATTAATATAGTGCCTATAAATACTCTACACCTATTCAGGTAATCAATGGGTGAATAAGTGTTTCAAAATTCAGATGAATTGACATTTCCATCGATTGTTAGAAGGGTGTTGGTCTTTAATCTCACATCAATCTTAATGTGTGCCAGTAGGACAATAGAAAGGATGCTCTGCAGAGATCAGAGCAGGTTTTGCCCTCTATTCCCAATGTACAAATACATTGTGTTTACAGATGGGCAGCAGATAGCTGCAGAACAGCCATGATTTCCCAAAGCTCATCCCTATAAATGGATGAAATAAGCAGCTATGTGTTCTTTTGCTGTCTCCTTTGCCCTCTGTACATTAGCATGTAATCCTGAGAAGAAATAACATTTTTTCAATCACTCTCAGACATTCAATTACAGGGTAAGCAGACAGCTGCAGGAGCTAGGGCAGCCTAGGTCCTACAGAAGACCCCTGACAATTTCCACTTCATTTCTAACCCACACCACTTTATTAGTGTGGATTACTTCTTAATCCTATTGCCATTGTCAAGATTATATAATTAAACTCCCCTTTCACCTCTATTACTGTATGAATGTATTACTAGAATAGAAGCAAAATAGAGTAGGAAATGGGTAAACGAAGGTGAAGGAAAAAGACTGAAGACTAGCAGTGTCCACCTTACTCTCTACTCCTGCCCCAAAGCCCTTAACAGTATGCTCCAATTAATTTTCCTTTAAATAGAGGTTTATGCTCCTCAGAGAAGATATCATCATCTAATTTTGCTTCTCATCATCATTCAATGCGTGGAAACACTGGTTGCAGATATGTCAGTAAATAAAAGACTTCTGATGCTCTTTTCTCCTAAATTAAAATTATCAAAATAGAAGACTACACAGTTTTCAGCTACAGAAATTGTAGAATCTTTCAGACTTTCCTCCTTGAGGGACAGAGCCAGAGGTGTTAAAGAAAAAAAGCCATTTAATGAATGACTAAAATTTCAGGCTAAACAAGAGAATTTTTCCCATAAGGGATGTAAAACTGAAAATCTGCGGTGTGCAATCAAAATTCCTACCTTGGGTAAAATATGTGAATCCTGTGAAAAGCTTTCCTAGGATGGATTTTTTGAGAGAGGTAAATGTATATGCTGCATGTACACTAAGACCTGTATATCAAAGCAAATAGCTCATCTGCTTCCAAGCTTTATTTACAAAACAATTGGTATTATTTTACTTACAGCTCTCATTTTATAAAGATCAGGTAACTCCCTTAGGACAGGCAAAGCAATTCTGTTGTCACTGCTTTCAAACTTTTTTCTTTTTCAGTGCAATTATTCATAAAGGAAAAAGATGAGTAGGGTTAAGAGACTTAACAGGAAGGAAAAAATAAAGGGGAACCAGTGTTGAAGATGAAGGGGAAAGTGTTTGGCAGAACAAAAACAATCTTTATTTAATGTAATTGTGGGTGTAAACTTGGTAGTCCTACTGGTCACAGCTGAAAAACTAAGTAATTAGATGCTCATTGGCCCAGACGTAGCTGAAATATCTGCATGATCACTGAATTTACCGGCAAGATTCTCTACATCTTTCTCGTCCACGGATGACAGAGCATCGTCGTCGCCTTCCAGGAGGCCCTCGTTTTCTGAGTTCTGATTTCCTAAAGCCTGACTCTTGATGGACTGTTTTCCTTTAGCAAGGATATCTTCATCTGCAGCTGAAATGAAAAGGAAACAAAGCTGTCCATCAGCTCTGGGAAGAGCACTTGGCAGAGGCACAGGGAGTTGAGGTAAGGATAGGTGGCCAAAAATGGTCATTTTTACACAGACTATCCACGATGGCGAAAGTGGCTGCGATGGCACACATGCTCCTCTAACAAACGTTGATTCCCCAGGCCTAGTCTAACGTTTCCCTGAACAAGCACCCTAATCCCATTAAATCTGACCCTTGCACTGCTCAGCGAACCATTTATTTACTTATAGTCAGGGCAGGAGAGTGTTCGAAAGCAGCACATTTTTATGGAAATTTGCTAGTAGAAAAAAAGCAGAACCTAATTTTGGAAACAATACCTGCTTAACACAGGAAAATATGAAAGACTGATTCTTTCCTGTAAATAATGTCATACTGAGAAACGTTTTTGAAATGGTGGGCAGGGGCTGTGGAGGAGAATCCATAAGGAACAAGGGTCAGAGCTAAGGGGGATACGCAGCCAATGAGAATTTAGGCCAGATACCGAAGCTCTGTCTGACGCCAATAAAGCTACAGCAGCTCTTGGAAACGGCCTTCTCTTGCTCTTTACTCCATCCTCCTCCTTTTCTTCATATTGCCCTTGCCCACATTTCACCTCACCCGCACCCCCACTGCAGCCCTTATACAAATACCTAAGAGCAAGGCAGTGTGGCAAGGAGGCGGGGCTCAAACACTACCCCAGTCCCCATGTGTTTAAACTAGAGGGCTAAGACACCCCGGGGGCAGCCCTAACAGAGAGCCAGGGAAGAGAGGTGTGTGGGCGAAGGGCCTCCCGCCGCCGGAACTGGAGCGGCCGTCGCGAGCCGCAGTACCAGACTCAGAGGCACTGTGACAAGGCGGCGGAGAGGGCGGCAAGGAGGGAGAGGGCACAGCAGGGCTACGGGGTGACGCGCCGCTCTCCGGAGCGCAGCCCACAGGGCGGCAGGGAGGAGGAGCAGAGGTGCGGCTGAAAGGAGAAAACACTCAAAAGTCAAAATTTGGACTTCAAAACCCTGTATCATTCCAGGGTGACTCCCACTGCTGTGGGCAGTTTTCTCCTTAAGAAGCATATAAAGGCAGATACTAACTTCTAGATTGTGATTTTTTAAAGTTCATAGTGTCAGACGAGGGAAAGTTCAGAATCTTTGCCGCACTCCTGACATTCCCCGTTTCCAGCTAGGGAAATCCCACAGGCAAAGCACCTGATCCACCCAGGCAAGTAGCTATTGATATGGAAATCAGATGGCTAGGCTTTTTGCTCCATGGCAGTTTGTGCTTAGGCCTCAAATCCAGAAAGGATAAAGCATTCAGTTTGCAGGAATATAGCTAATATTTATCTATAAAATTTATTCTAAACAGCTAAACTACATGTATGTTACCAGCTTAACTTGACAAAAGAAAGCTTCTTTGAGTTTAATAGATATGGTTATGGATAATGTTAAAGGTAAAAAGTTAATTTTTGTCATATTTATTGTGAGTTCACCATGCATATAATTTATATGCAATACTCATGGCACTATTTAAAAGAATCTAGCACTTTCCTATTAAGTGAGGAAATAATGGGAAGAAGCTTTCTATATTTAGCTTTGAATACCCTCTGAGGATAAATCGAATCATATTTTCATTCATATCACATATAGCATAGTAAGCTGTACACATAGGAAGGTCTTGATAAATATTTGAAAAATGAAGTATCTAATTAAAGTGGCTTTTTTAAAGCCACAAAGAAATACATCAAAAAACACCAATTTTTAGGAAAGTCACAGTATGTTTTTATATCATTGCTTATATGTCAAGTATTTATATATGAAATCATAAACATTGCCATAAGGCCCAAACAAGATCTTTCCCAATTTACTATCAGTTTTACTCAAAGTTGGTCACTGAAAAATACAAGAGAAATCACCATCTTCTAAATTTTCTTATAAATTAAGTTACAATAAACTAACAATTACCACTCAGATTTTAGTACCAAATCAGTATGTTACATTCTCATTTCCTAGATTTACAATTTCATCTTCGAAGCACAATTAATAATGCTGATGTTAAATAACACTTACTGCGTGCTAGGGAGTGTTCAAAGCACTTTACATATTTAATTCACTTAATTCTCAAAAACCTTCAGCTAAAGTCTCCTTTTCAGATGAGTGAACAGGCTCAGAGAGGCTAATAACTTGCCCAAGGCAACACAGGAAGTGAGAAGTATAGAGTCGGGATTTAAATCCAGGCACTGTGGCACCAGAATCTGGGTTCTTAACCACTACTAAAAATATGAATGTATATATAATTTACCAATTAGTTTACTAATTTTTATGTTTCTCATAGTGTAAAGAATAAAAAAAATCCATTTCCAAACTTAAAAGTTTGATGAGCATATACCAAACACATAAACAACTAAATTCAACACCTTGCTCATTACTTTCTTTATTGCTATACATGTCCTGAAGTACACCAAGCTTATCTGAAAAAATCCCTTTACTCTGCAAATATGTACAAAAAATGAGGGTAGCCAGTGGCAATATGTAACGATTTAAACTAACTCAGTAAATAAATTCACATTCATGTTAATTCATATTCACATAAATGACCACTAAATATTTGGTATCCCTTCTAACTGGAATTTAAGATTTTTTAAAATATGTTCTCATCCATGCTGACACATATTAAAACCCAGTAACTTAGGAATTAAATAAAATGTTATGAAAAACTTTAAAGTACTATAGGTCTACTGTATGCATACAAACACCCACTTTAATTTATTTATTTACTTATTTTTACAAGCTCAGATTCTGGAATTGTTCAACCTCAACTGAAAAACCTCTTGTCATGGAAAATATGCAGCTTACTGATATTTAGAATGGTTTTCCTGTAATTAACTTCCCCTGGAGGATTTTAACTTAGCAGCAGTAAAATTACCAACAGTACTCTAATACACACCACATGGGCTAGTGTTCAATTCTCAGTAGTCTAATAGATTTCTGTTAAAAAAATTTTTTTTTTCAAAATCAGAAAAAATTGTCCCAAACATAAAATAAAAGATAATTATCATGTTTATATGTAATGGAAAAACTATATTTTTAACTTTCATTTGCCTTATATTCAATCAACCATTAAAACAAGTGTCAACTATTTTTGCTATCTTCTGTAAGTATATTACACTAGTATAAAAGTTTAATTGGATGAAGTCAGAACATTCTTTTGGTTCAATTTTAAAGCCTGATTCAGATCTTTCCTGGCTAATAAAATTATTAGCAAATGTGAAAACTGCTTAAATTTTTCATATCACTACTAACAGTTTGCCTTTACTTAATCTTATATTTTATTCTGGTTTAATATTTACCCTAAAACTGCAACTGTTACATAAAATTGGAGAAATCTGTCAAAATGCTTTCTTTGAAACATGAGGGCTCAGAGAGAAGCTGGTCCTCAAAATGTAAAGTTCAAGTTCTTCAGAGTTAGTCCTGGGCATAAGTTCCTTTTATCTATACGACAAAGGCTAGGTAAGTAAAAATTAAAACAGAAAAGAACACGGAAAACTATTCCACCTCTGGTACATAAATCCTTTTAAAAATTCACACTGGGCCAGTGAATTGGAGTAATCAATAGTCCATATTATACTAAAAGAAGTTTATACATTAAGAATTAGCCACTTAATGTTAAAAAAAAGTTACTACTTAAATGACAAAGTAACCTCAAATGTACATAAACTAAATATAGGTATCCACTTAGAGTGATGTAAAGTATACCCCATAACTGTTTATTCTGAAAGAATCGCTTACAACTATCATCCTAAACTAATTCCACTTTACATGCAATTTCCAAAGAGTTTCAAGTCAAGAAAAATCTACTCTAGAAACATGAGAGAAACGATAAGGCTGTTTAGGAGAACAAGCCAAGTTCATCTCCTAGTGATCATGGGTTCCCTGCAAGTGTCAGACAGAGAACCTAGCATATGTTGACCCTAAAAAATGAGCAACAGTATGTGACATTATTGAAGTTATGAGAGAATCATATGATTTAGGACCTTTACCTATCATCACTAGAAAACTAGATGAGTTACGTGTATCATTCCATATGATTACAAAATATTTCTTAAACTATCTTAAGTCCTCATATATTTCTATTAGCATGCACATTCTCTACAAAACAAAAATGTCTCGAATTCAATAGGGTCCTACTGTTAAACTGTCTCAGTATTTGAATTAAAACCAATCTTTCCATCATTTAAAACACTTTTAAGTGGCTTTAATTCAACTATAAAATTCCAGTTACATTAAGCAATCAATTTCAGAAGACAGCACAGCACAGTATTAAGAAAATCTGACTAATCATCAGTTAACATGGGCTTTAGTCCTGTATCTACCAAAAATTTTGTTGGTCTTTTGTGTCCTCAATTTCCTTATCTGTAAAGAATAAAGTTAGATAAATACTAGACTTTAGCCTTAGGTTCTTTCCAAATCTAAAATGCTCTGATAATAAATAACTGACAAACTGGGCTCTGTGCATTAGGAGAATGTTATGAATCATTACAACTGATTTCTAATAAATTTGAGAACTAGAAAATAAAAGTAAATGCCCTCAAGAATCAAAGATCTACCTCTGCTAATTTCCATAAACAATATCTAACTATAAAAGGAAGTATTAATTTTAGTTTAAAAATATGACTCAGTTTCTGCAAAGTTAAAAAAATCTCCCATTACAAAATGACTTTTATAAATAACCACTTTGGAGGTTCTCTCTTTGAAAAATTACCTAAAGGCCTTTTCCCCAAGCAAGTTAATGTGAACTTGGGAAGGGCAATTAAATTGTCAGAATTAAAAAATTTGTTTTTAACTAGAAGGTAGCCAGAAGTAGAGTCATGGGGGCTAGTATTGATCGCCTGAACAGAGAACATCACTCTTCAGGTATTTACTCTGCCACCTTTACACCAGAGGCTTTCCTTCAAATCAAATCAATCTATAGAAAAGATAGCTCTTACTACTAAAATACGTAACTAATCTCCAATGGCATTTCTACTTGGATGTCTTCCTTTGATAATGATAATATAGTTCATGATGCTTTAAGATTCTGCATTTTCAAAATTGTTCTGTCTCCTTAGATAAAGCAATTATAAATAAAAGTGAGAAGTCATGAAAGAGTATAAAACTGACATATATCCTCAGTAATATCTATTTAAAATATGCAAATTCAACACTGACATATCCATGCTAATTCTATAACTTAAACTTTTTGATCATATTAACTATTTTGCATACTTGATTTTTAATACATTTCTTTTCATTAGCTTCCTTAAGTTAGGATAAAAAAGCAAAGAGTTACATAATTAATACAAAATTAAAACAATGTCAACTATATTTTGTTTAATAAAATATTTTAAAATTGAGCTCTTTGCTTACATAATGTGTTAGCTTAAATTATGCTCACATCAAACAATACTACAGTACAATTGATGTTCTGAGTTCCAAAACTAATATTTCTTTATTAGTTAAAATATAAAATATATAGCCAAACTATGATTAATAAGAGCTTGTATCTTCTTTAAAAAAATATTAAATATGCTATATCTCCTTATGGAAGGAACACTGAAGCATTTTCCACACATTTGGTTAGTTTTAAAAACATGTACATTTCAGACTTAAATTTTTGTTTTTAATCTTTCAGAGTGTTTTAAATATTAATATTATAAGATTAGTATAAAATATTACCAAATAGGATAGTATATAAAACTTGACTTCTCTCTCTCAAAGCATAATAAAACATAGGTAACTAATTAGTATTATATCAACCTTTCAATTACCATTTAGAGTAATTAGAATGAAATTTGCTTCTATACAGGATTAAAAAACATCTTAAGTGACAATAAGCATTGCTAATAAATATCTTTTTATAATCAGACTTTTAGCATTTAAAAAGTTGATCTAATATTATTTTAGAAAGTAAAGCTCAACAATAAAGTTATTTTCATTACGAAGAATCCTATAATTCCCTAAACTGGTTAAATGTATTACTTCTGATAAAAATGGATTTAAATAAGCTCTATATTGAATTGATACAAAAAATTTTTAATTCAGTTACTGATATTTCTCTGAGGATAAAGGATTAAGAGTTTGCCTATGTGCAGTTTTAGAAAATAAGTCCCCCCCACCCACAAATAAAAAGGAAAAGTTTCCATAAAAACATTTTTGTCATTCATAGACTTTACAACCCACGACTCGATGTTAAATGACAATTAAGAAGACAGAAAAATACTTGTTAAATTTTAAATGCACATGGTAAAATCTGCTTGACTGAAAAGGAGAAAACTGCAAAAGGCTGAGTTTTTTTCAATGTAAGAGTCATTAACCAAAAACAAAAACAAAAAAGGAAAGGAAAAGAAAAATATACATATAACTCTGAAATCTATGCACCACATAAAAAGCACATGAACCTTAAAAAGCAGAAGTGGCCTAATTAATTCTACATCATATATATCCTTCTCCACCTCCGGGAGTTGAAGATGTAGGGCCCTGAGACTATTATTGCTCTTAGATCACTTTGTTATTGACTATTCTCTGTATGATCATTTATTTTAAAGGACTGATGTCACATTTGGTGTTATATCTGATGACATATTGTGGACATTTTCTTCCAGAAATGGCTCTTTAAGGCTGAGTGCAAGAGGTTAAGCTGCCTGACTGAGGCCAAACCTAAGATCACAGACTTTTAATCTCCATTCTTAATATTTTTATCGAATCTAATTCAACATTTATTTTGTGTACTACATATTATTTAACCAAAAGCTGCTACATGTTAAACTAGTATCTTGAAAAAGGGAAACTAAAACTATTTTCAACTTACTAAAAAATAACCAATTTTGAAAATTAAAATAATTTTAATGTGGAGAGGGCATTTTCCCTTTAATCAATATATCTTAGCTTTCAAAGATTTTAAAAACTTAAGTGAACCCTATTGCCAGAGAGAGTATAATATCAAATCCAAACGGCCTTTTCAGTTTTGTCAATTTGATCATCAGGCTTCTACCTAAACTGAATCATAGTGATATGTATTATATCAAAAAAGGCAAAATGTTTTGTTAAGCTCTCATAACAAGATGATGCAGAACAGGAACATATGAAAATAATGTCTATTCTCTTTTTCCAAGAGCCATTTATCACAACCATCTACAAATCAAGGCTCAGAAAGTATCTAGGCACTTGGACATTTATTACCATCTCTCCCACTTCATAATCTCATGCTAAAATACCATGGTTGAGGGAAAATCGTATATACACAACAGAACTTAGAAACCTATTTGGTTTGTAAATGCTGTCTTTCTGATATTTATGGATTTAAGGCAGGTGTCCTGGATTAATTTACTCAAATGCTGAATATGTCACTTTAAAGGAGAAATATTTTATCCTCCTACTTTGAAACAAAGGGTTTATGTTAAGTAAGTTTTGCATGTGTAACATAATAAATAAATACCCTTGATGCCATAATTTAACAGGACCCTACACTAACTATAAAAAATTTAACTTCTCTTTCTGGGGTGAATACCTATGAAATGTGGTATTGGACCATTTTACACTGCTTGTATAATGAAGTAATGCTCTTCATTGCCGAGCATTGTACCTGCTGCTCAATTGGCAAGGAGTGGTTTATACACTGACCATGTTCCACGGCTGTTTTTAGTGTCGCTTCAGGATGTGTCGATCCTAGAGGGTTACGCACAAATCGTCGCCGGCGCCGCAAGTCATCTTCCCAGTAGTCAAGGCGCCAGAACTCACGAGGACGACTACAATGAAACAGAGAAGCCACATATGTTAGCAATTATCAAACAGCGTGGTAGCACGGAATTTCTGCATAAAGCTCTCCTTGTTTGCTCTGCCCTTTTTTTTTCCCTCCCCTTCCTCTTAATTCTCCCTCCACCTCACACTTCCCTTTCTGCAATCTTTAACTTAGGTATGTCCTTGAAAATAACAATATCACCTTCCAGTCTAAGGAACTCCTTTCCTTTTGCTTGGAAGGTGAAATGAGCACTAAATACATCATTTTGAAATGAATTGCTGACAGTGTGATCAGTTTCCCCACACTCCAGTGGCATGTGCTCTGATTTCAGCCTCATTTCAGCCTCAGCAGGGCACCTTTCTCTGTGGCTGCATTTATAAACCAGAATAGGGAAAAGGCTATTATAAATATGGTATAGCATTACCTATATTAATCAAAGTCTGTCCCCCTCCATTTTTCTTCCTAATTTGTGCCTTTTTGCACAAGGTCAGTAAATCATACCATGAATTCTTGGTCCAGAAAGTGTTAACTTTAATGAATATCTCAGTTACATGGTTATGTATGTGATAATAAAATATTACTCTGTTTAGATGTGCAGGAATTTAATTAAAATAATCTCTTAAAATATTCATTACATTTAGCCCCTGAGGCTTAGAACAACACAAGAAAATGCATTTCTTTTCCATTTACTGTTTTTAAATAAACCATTCCTATAGAGTGAAATAGCAATCTATTTTCAAGCAAATCAGATTGGATTTCTGTTTTATGTACTCTGTTTTTATATTTAATTAAAAGCTACATGCTATATAATGTGCAATAATTGCTATATCAAATGTATACTTTTGGAAATGTATTTTTTAAAGGGTTCACTCAATTCAAGTTCTACTATATTTTTGTAATTATGTCGATCTTTTATATGGCAATATATAAACGTCAACTTTCTCTCCTATTAACTAATCATGATCTTGAATGCTAGAAAACATTTTACAAGGAAAATACCAATATGAAGTTTTTTCAGTTACAGTAAGAAAAAAAGATTCTGTAGAATATATTTACACACTAGGGATACACAGCATGAAAACTCTAAGTTTCAATAATGAAATAAAAAAATTCATTAACAAAACTTCTGCAAGGAATGACTAATACAAAACAAAATCTCACTTGTAGTTCATGAGCTAATAAAAGTGTACCTGTCAGCTTTGACAAATTAGTAGTCTTGACCAACTGACAGTCCCAAAATACCCACTTAAAAGTTACTCTTATTTTGATGTTTTAAAGATGCTCCCTTTAAAATTTCAGTATTTATAAATAAGTGCTTTATTGATCAAAAATTATATCAGATTAATAAAAGTACAGAAAACAAACATTACTTAAAAGAGAATATTTTTTTAAAATAATAGGCATCTAATCCTCTTTCCCAAGAATGCTGGAGAGACAATGAGAACATCAAAGATTTCCTTTGTTTATTTTGCTCATGCATAAAGAGGAGAGATAATGTAATCAAATGACAACACAAAAGTGTAAAAACTGCAGTCCTGAAAAAAGAAAAATTAAAAGCTCTTTTATTTGTGTTATTTTGCTGCCTACATTTTAAATGAAAACTACTATTATGATGTTTAAAAACAAGTAACACCTATAGATTATACACAAGTAGCAAAAGACAACAGTTGTTTGAACTCAATAAAATAAAATTCTCCTTGGGTGTAAGGGGAAAAGACGGTGCACAGATGGCTACGAGTATGGCTTTGATAGTCATGGAGCTTGGATAGGCACTTCATCATTCTGCCTACCTACATTTATCTGTTAAAATTATTATCAAATATCAGCCAGGATGCAGTCGTGAATCACAGGCTGCTCCTCGTCTTCAGGGGAATGATACAATGAGGGTCTATTCATCAGTGCAGCAATCGGCACAAGTAATTAGTTCCCTAGACTGAGATCTCCTGCAAAGCATGTTTCAGTCAGCACCACAAACATATGACGATGTAAAGCTAATGAAAGCTGCTAAAATTTGTTAACCTTTTCTGCCATCAATCCTTCTGATATTCTATGCTTCAGTATTATGCAAAGGTAGTAAATTATTAATTTGTCATTCATCCATCCTTCTGAATTGAGTCAAATGATGTAATTCTTCTTAATAACAATTAAAATTATAAGAAGTTAAGCTGCTATTATAAAATTATTACTAAACTAGGTAACAATAGATTCTAGTATAATGCACAAGACTGAAGTCAAATCCAATGGCTATTGAAGCATGTGTGCAATAATTTGTCAGACAGCAGAAAAACCAGAGGAATTATAAAATCATTCACAGATTATCAAGTAACCCAAAGACAGTATCTATAAGAACAGTAACCAAAATTAGGAAGAAACAGAACTGTGATAATTCATTTTTGTGTTCTTAGACACTAACAAAAAATAGTCACAATAGTGACATTTGGGTGAAACAAAAGCACCAATAAATCAGGAACTGAAAATTTATTCACATAGTAGAAAATTTTTAAGTTAAGTTTTGCTTAACTTCTGTCTTCTGTCTTCAAATGTAAACTTTCTACCAATAATTTTAAAAATCCTTAGACATAATCTAAATAAAGAACTTTATACCTCAGCATGATAATCTTTACAATACCCTAAAGCTATATCCAAGACTATCTTCTTAATACTAGTGTACCTCCTGTTACAATAATTAAATAATTAAAATAATCTGAAGACAAAGCAAAAATTACTTATTTCAGATCACATATATAGAATGGATTAAAAATCACCAAGGACACCAACAATTTCAATATATTTTGAGAGTCTGTCCAAACAATGCACTGCTCCAGGTGATACAGGATACAAACATTCAAGGAACTTACTCATAATGGGATAGCTATTAGCGTCACTTTAAAAATAGCATTTATCATCCAATTTCTGATGGTGAGAGTAGTACATATTCTTCAAAAAAAAGTTGTATTTTTTTTTCAGAAGAGGGTAATCACTAGCATGTTTAAAGTCATTCACAGGAACAGACCTGTGCCCCAAACTCCCTCCAACATTTTATCCCTCCAACCATGCTCTTCCGACAATGTACACTTCCCTGTATAAAGCTCTATCACCAAAAAAAGGATACACACTTCATCATTTTACAACAGTGCTGGAAAAGGGAATGTGTAAGTCTCAATCACAACCTACTGTAAGTTTTGATCATTCCCATGAAGATTTCACTCTTATTTAAGGAATATTGCCACCCCCTCCCCAAAACCCTCTATCGGGGGAAAGAGGATAAGAAATTGGCAAATTTGGCATATTTATCCAATACTACTCTTACAAGCTTATGAAATAACTAAATAAGTTATTTTACACTTTTGGAGTTATCACCATGGTATGGCTAGAAAAATTAAAAAGACTCCAAATATGCAGAAACAGGCTGTTGGCCAAATACAAGCATGAATAAGATATCACTTATTCTGAGACATTAGAAATATATTATGTAGATCACTATACACCTATATACTTCTATATATCCATATCTATCCAAAAAAGAACATTAATACTATATGATACCACATTCACAAACTTTATCTATAGCTGTTTCCACTAATAATTGAAACTAAGACCCCAAAACATATTCAAATTAAGGATGTGATCCTAGGCTCTGTAAGGTCTGGAAATAAAGCCTTCTTTATAAAAGCTAATGTAGTTAGGTCCCCTATTACTATGCAACCTCCAACTACTAAAATCTTTGGCTAATAGGAATACACATGTCTTTGAAAAGTTGCAGATGACACTGAAATGTTCTACCTTTTCTTTCTAATGATATCTCCCCCATACTTTGCCCTAATTACAAAGACTGAGATTAAAATTACAATGTAGGTCTAATTGTCTTTCAGTAATTACAAGCATAAGTCATAAGTCATCTAATTATCTTTTTAAAAAACGCTCACATTTATGTATTTGTATGCCCATACCTTTAACATAGCACTACAGTCTATTAAAAAATTACATAAAACAATGCCATTTTAATATACAGAATGTGATTTTCTGCTCTACAACAGGATTGTTGAAATATATCTGAGAAAGAAATATAACTAAGCATAAATAGAGAAGCAATTTATTCCCTTTCCAAGGCACATTGTGGTTAGTGATTTGATCAGGTAAAAACAAATGAATAAAAATGAGCCAGATGAGTATCAGTTGGAAAAGTTGGAAGTATTAAAACAGAGAATCAACAACTAAGGTAAGATCTACTTCCTTCCTGTAACAGTTGAATGGCTCAACTACAAATAATCTGTTTTTCACATGTAAATTACAAGACTTTTTAAAGAACAGTTTCTCTTGTCAAGCCAATTTAGCTAATTAACAATGGGCGTATAGGTAAATACTGAAATAGCACCCTGAAATATTTTCTGGTAACAATGACAGACTCTTAAGCTTGAGCCAGCTGTAAGGGACACACAGATTATTCAGATATTGTCCCTGACTTCATGGAGAAGACAGGTGTGAAAATAACTAATAAGAAATAAAAAAGAAATTGTGATAAAGCAGAGTTCTACTAAATGGCTATTAAACTGCACAACTCCAAGAGGCACTGTACACATCAAAATTTGTGTAAATGTCACTCCTGGAGTTGTGCAATGCTTTCCTTTGCACTGCTATATGAACACCCTATGAGAATAATAGGGTGCTATGAGAGCACCCTCTGTTTTCCTCTCCCTATAATGCTCAGACTCCTTCCTTTCTCTCCCAGAGATAAATCTAATCTTGGGATAGGGAACAGAACAAGGCCCTTCAGACATTATCTGTAGCAGTCAAACAGTATTTCCTTGCTGTAGGAAAGGTGTTCAGACCAAGAATAGGTAAGATTGTCAAAAAAACAAGCAAAATTCAATATGAGGAATAAAATAATCAAGCACAAAAGAGAAACATTAACACTTATTTCGCTGAAGTCATTAAATTTATATTATCTTATTAAGGCAAATTATGTTCTTGACATTTTTCTATTAAGGTAGAACAATGCTAATTACT